GTGTTTGTCTGTTTGTGTGCTAATAGTGAAGCCTCTATGATTCTCATGGCCTGTAAATAGCTAGAAAATAGTCTGTTTTCATATTTAAAGATGGGAGATACGCAAACTGGGAGCTGGTTCTACAGGAGAGGGGACGGACTTTTAGTTTATAACAGCTGGTTATTGTTCTTGTTCTAATTTACATGAGTTAGAATATGTCTTTTGACTTTCTTGTTTCCACAGGCAGCACTCAGGCAAAAAGAGCTGGAGCAGAACCTCCAGTGGGCTCGGGAGAATGACGAGACCCTGAAGCAGATCCAGGAGTCCTTAGCTAACACAGACCGCCACCTCACTGCATACCTGGCTGATCAAATCGACGCTCAGCAGATACCACAGGAAGCTCAGGTAGCCATAGCACAACGATCCTTCTATAACCTTTATAGTCACATGACAGGAACAAAGGCATTTGTTTCCCAACCAAGGAAGACAGAATTCCAGATGATATCCTGACTTTACAATTTTACAAACATTTGTAAAATAGTACAGCACCGTAGTGTGAGGTCTAATATCAGCCGGCCAAAATAAAAAGAACCAGTTCTGAAACCAGTTTGGGCGTCTTTAGCAGATTGAAAGTCAAATCCAGACCAGCGCTGACCATTGGTGTTAGGAAACAAACAGACACACAAACAGCCTCGGTCTTTGTGTCCTTGCCTCTTTTTCCGGCTGTCTTCCCCACACTTTGATTTGATTTCTCTCTGTCTCCCTTTCACCATCTCTTTTCAATCTCTGTCTTACTGACACACACACATATACAGACACACACACACATACACAGAGGATAAAAGGATGATTACATTATGGGAGCAGAGTGGACGACTCCTGAGACTTTGTTTTTAAAGAGAAGGATGGCAGAGACAAAGTGTGTGCGAGAGAATCTGTAAGTGTGGCGGTGATGTGGGCTCGTGTTTGGACTCTCTTCTTGATATCTCCTGCCCTCTTGTGGTCAGCAGAAGGTTGTACACTGTTAGTCCATTTAAGCATTTTTAGGGTTGATTTCACTTTGACTTTAGTGTTTAATTGAATTTAATAAATTACATGAATTCTTTATGTATCATGTGTGTTTGTGTTTTCACAAGAAAATCCAGTCAGAGCTGAGCAGCCATGAAACGACGCTGGAGGACTTGAGGAAGAAGAACCAGAACAAAGACAAAGACCCTTCCCCAAAGATCATGGGACAGTTGGACCTTACCCAGGTACATAACCACAGACAGTGTGCTGAAATGGGTAATATAGGTGCAAACAGCCCTTACTGACGACCACTTGAAAACATCAGGTCACGTTTTTGATCCTAAAGCTAGAAAACATGTAAATGGACTCTACTTGGATGCTCAGATCTCCTGCACATCAAATTTCCTCATCAGAACCTGTTTGGAGGTGTTGGGTGGTACAAGTATAACCAACAGTATAAAACGCAGAAGATAATGCTGAAAATCAAAGGGCATTATTACTTACATCAGTGCGAGCATACTGTGCCATGTGGGGTGGCTGTAGCTCAGGCGGTAGAGCAGGTCATCTACTGAGCGGTTGGTGGTTCGATTCCTGGCTTCCCCCAGTCTGCATGCCAAATATTCTTGGGCAAGATGCTAACCCCAAATTGCTCTCCGATGCATCCATCAGAGTATGAATGTGTGTGAATGTTAGTTAGAAAGTACTAAGGAAATGTGAATGTGTGAATGCACAAGTTGTATAAAGTGCTTTGAGTGCTCAGAAGAGTAGAAAAGTGCTACATTAGAACCATTTACCATCTATGTAAGGCCTGTGGTAGGATCTCAGTAAGATGTGGTGATTTCTCTGCTGTCTACATGCAGTTTCAATTCCTTTCCTCATGTAATTCTCCATGCTGCAGCATTCCTGTACATGTCACGGCGGGGTGCGCCGGTGTGAGGAAAGAGGTAGACCCAGATGCAGACAAAACGTAGTTTCAAAAATAGAGCGAGCCTTTATTGGCTGATTGCAGAAGAAAAAACAAGGAGCTAGGGAAACTAAGGAGGCTATGAACACTGTGTTAACAAAAGGGCTGTGAACACTGAGTAAACTAGAAAACACAGAGAAACAATGGAGTAAAACTGTGAAAACTGTGGTGAGGTTAACAGACGATCTGACACTGACTGAGTGGAAACACACAGACTAAATACACAAGGAATGATCAAAGGAAGTAGAATCACATGGGGAAAACAGCTGACAATTAACATAATGACAGGACACGTGAAACTAAACATAACACAAAACTCTTTCAAAATAAAACAGGAAACATAAGGAAATTCAGACAAAACTCTTTCAAAATAAAACAGGAAACATAAGGAAATCCAGACATGACTTGAACTTGACAAACAAAGAAAACTTAGACATGAAACATGGCAGAATGTAACCAGATAAACCGAAATGAAACGAGCCTAAAAAGAACAAGAAACTCAGAATACTGGGTCACATGACCCAGGGCCATGACAGTACAGTATTTGATACCTTCGTCCTGAACTGATTACAGGTCAAATTCTAAATCAAAGAGTAGTAATTATTATGTTATAGCTGTCCTCTTTTTTATCTCCACTGCAAGTATGCATGCATGTTGCACATTTGCGCCACTGACAGGTGATTAAATACCTGCCAGTACTCAAACGTGTCTTTGGAAGTTATTGCTGTGGTAACTGTATCAATGACCACTTTTTGCCATGTTAGTGGACACATGTACAGACAGGATATGGTGTTTCCTGTAGGACTCTTACCTATCATCATGTGCACTGTGGGTCTTGTCATTTCCCAGAATATGCTGGCAGACGTGTGGACTAAGTTCCGACTCTTCCAGAAGCCTGCCAACTTTGATTCTCGGCTGCTCGAGTGTGAGCGCGTGCTAGCCTGGGTCAAAAGTCAAATGGGGGTGCTGGACATCCGCAGTGTGGAGCAGGATGTGGTGCAGTCACAGCTGGAGCAGTGCATGGTGGGTATTTGTTTCACATATGAACTGATGGAGAGATTCTATTTGAAGTGGCTTCTATCTATTTGGCTTGAACAGAAGCTGTACAAAGCGCTGAGTGAAGTGAAAGGGGAGGTGGAGACGGTTATAAAAACAGGCAGACAAATCGTGCAGCGGCAGCAGACTGAGCAGCCCAAAGAGCTGGACGACAGAGTGACTGCTCTGAAACTGCTGTATAACCAGATGGGAGCTCAGGTTAGGACACACACACACGCACACACACACACACTGGAGTAACTCCAGCAGCATAATCAAAGAATATGTGTTTGTAGGTGACAGAGAGCAAGTTGGAGCTGGAGAAGAGTCTGAAGTTGTCAAGGAAGCTGCGTAAGGAGCTGAACGGGCTCACAGAATGGCTCGCCGCCACTGATGCCGAGTTGACGAGGCGCTCTGCAGTGGATGGGATGCCCAGTGACCTGAAGGACGAGGTGGCGTGGGCACAGGTACCTCCGTGTATACATCGACACGAAGACAAACATTAAAGAGTGATAATATCTTTTATTTTAAGTGCTTTTATAAACATGCAAGGTCACCTTACATGGAAAAGTTCTTCTGTCCTTGTTTCCTAATTGTTCTCAGTCCATCCATGGGGAGACGGAGAGACACCAGCCACAGCTGCAGGCAGTGGTGGACCTCGCCGAGACCTTAAAGGCTGTGCTGCGCGGCCACGGAGGCCTCGTGGACGACAAAGTCAGCCTGCTGCACTGCAACTGGATTGCAGTGACTTCTAGAGCAGAAGAATGGCTCAACCTGCTGCTGGTCAGAAATAGAACTGAAACAACCTGCTCTTATTATACTTTTCATTTATCTGTTGTTTCAGTTCTAATATTAGACCTGGTTTGCTAAATATAGCTCGTGTAGATGTCACTGTTTGCAGAAGAAGAGTCTGATTTTTCTCCTTCTTTCTCTCTTTCAGGACTACCAGCAGCAGATGCACAAGTTGGATGGACAAATACAGGAAGTGAATGGATGGATCAATGGTGCAGAGAGAAAAATGAATGAGATAGACAGCCAGGGACCCAGTGATGTGTTGAAGGTTGTTTATATACTTTGAGGCTTTTTTTCCCTATGACAAATGTTTCTTTCATGTCTTAGGTGAAGACAGTTTATACACCTAACATATGTGTCTTGGGACCTGCAGGTGCTACGTGCAGAGCTGGAACTCACCAGAGGAAAGATGGAGGAGGTAAGGTCTCTGGGGCAAGAGTTAATGTCCACCAGGGGGGACAACTGCCAGGCCGTGGTCGGACCCAAGCTGGAGCAGCTTAACCACAGATTTGACGCCATCTCTCAGCGCATTACCTCTGGAATGGTAGGGAAGTACCTTTATATAGATATACTGTTTGTTTGGCTGTTTCATATTTATTGTTAAATGCTATATCTTAAATCCTAAAATCCATGAATTTACTTTAATAGATTTCAAATTGTAGTTGCTCCTTAACTCTTCTTCTTAGTCTTACATAGGTCTGAGACTGTGTAAATAAATGTACATTCTGTGTGTATGTGTGCGCCTGTACATCGTTGCCATGGGACTGTGTGTGTGCGGCAGACGGCGGCATCAGCCAAAGAGCTGGAGCAGTACCACAGTGACGCGCAGGTCTGGCTGGAGCTCCTGGAAGATGAAGTCAAACAAGGGGAAAACCTGAAGGAAGAAGATTTCCTGGAGGACAAGGTCTGTTACCCTCACACCAAGGTTCAGTCACAGCTAGTGTGACTTCCAGTCATTTTCTGTTTCTACTAACAAACCGAGCATGTACTTGTGTGTTTAGGACTGTGAGGAGGGCGCAGTTAAGGAGTTACTGTTAAAAGGAGAGAGTCTACAGAAGAGAGTCCCGGATCTGGACAAGAGAGAGGAGATCAGACTTAAGCATAACAAGCTGAACATGAAATACAACACAGTGAAGGTAACACACACAACAGCTAATATTAAACAGAGTAATAACATGGGAGTATATTCACAATGTGTTATATCATTGCAATGAAATATCTAAAAGTTGCTGCTAACACATTAAGCCAAACCCTGTTATCTGTGTTCAAGTCAGCAAAAAGTTACTCTTTGCTGGCTAGCATATTATGCTAATATGCTAATAATAGCATATTAGCATATTATGCTAATATTAGCATGTTATGCTAATATGCTAATATGCTAATATTAGTATGTTATGCTAATATGCTAATATTAGCATATTAGTATGTTATGCTAATATGCTATTATTAGCTAATATGTTAACAATAAGCCAAGCAAACATTACATTAAATAAAATAAAACTTAAGAAAGTAAAGATTTTTTAATTTTCACTAAATACAAAACTAAACTTGTTGTACTTGCTTTTATAAATATAGAAGTATGTATGTATTACATTAAATAAATAAAAAACGTGTTAAAGTGCTCATACATGCAAATACAGAAACAGTTTCTACAATGAAAACTTTTTGAGTCAGCACCTTCATGACCAGCTTTTTTTGAGATAATTCTGGGAGGAAAGAAGCAAGATGACATGAATGTTAGTGTTCTTCTCAGCTATAGCTGCATAAACACTGTTTTATTTTGAATACATGTGACAGCAGGTCAGCTGGATAAAAGCTGTGTCACATAAAGATATTCGTGATATTCATGTGTGTGCATGTCTCTGTGTGCTTGTGTGGGCACATGCATGTAGGATCTGCGCGTCCTTCGAAACAGGAAGGCATTGGCTATTGCGCCCCAGTGGTACCAATACAGGAGGAAGTCACATGACCTGCTTGCCTGGCTAGATGACATTCAGCGCAGAGTGGACTTACTGCCTGACCCGCCTGAGGGAGAGAGGGTCAAGGTGATGATGTGCACAGAAACACACACACAGCTCCCTTCCATAAAGCACTTCTTTGTATTTTCTATTTGGCTTTTCTCAAAGACCCACAGCCTGACTTTATGTTTGTCACCGCAGCTCTTCATCTCACGCCTTTTCTTTCCCACATCATCTGCTTTGATCTTTTGTCATTCTGTGTTTTGCGGTATATATTCCTTTATTTCTATCCTTCCTCTCCCCTTCTCCAACTTTTGGACAAAGATTTAATATCAAAGATTTGCAGCTTAATGACATGGAAACACTCCCTGAGCATTTTTATTACCATCACCGGTAGATTTTATTAAGGATTTAGTTTTTTATTAATGGACCAGAGTTGTATGCAATATTTTATTGTCATTAAATAATTACTAACTGTCTTTTAAGGCAGCATTGAACTTAAAATCCCTGTTTAGTACTTCACGATGATTGATAAAACTCCTATTTAATTCAGTAAACTATGGAGCTTTGCTGCAGCAAACATACTTGACCTTACTTGACCAACTCAGTAGGTTTAGACAGCCAACATTATATTAAAACCATGTACTTTACTTATATTTGTCAATTGATTAGTTTTTCAAAATAATTTATATACACTGTGTTGTAAAGTAATCACTTATTCACACAAACCATTGAAACAGGTGTTCCAATCACTTAGATAGCCACAGATGTACAAATGACAGAGCAAGGTTATGCTGGGGTGTATAGTGCACATCACTATAGACCTCCAAACTTCATGTGGGATTCAGATTAGCTCGGGACCAGTAGGTAGAGAGCTTCATGGCTGGGCAGCTGCATCCAAGCCCTACATCACCATGACAAGCACAATTGCAAAGCGTTGGATGCAGTGGCCTAGAGCACGTTGCTACTAGACTCTAGAGCAGTGAAGATGTGCTCTCTGGAGTGATGCATCACATTTCTCTGTCTGGAAATCCACTGGATGAGTCTGGGTTTGGCAGTTCCCAAGTAAATGGTACTTGTCAGACTGCATTGTCTCAATTGTAAAGTTTGGTATGGGGCTGTTTGTCAGGAGCTGGGCTCGGCCCCTTAGTTCTAGTGAAAGGAACTCTTAACCTTCAGTGCATGAAGACCCACAAAGACATGGATGAGCAAGTTTGGTGTGGAGGAACTTGACTGACCAGCACAGAGTCCTGACTTCAACCCAATACAACAGCTTTGGGATGAATCGGAGCTGAGACCTCGAGCCAGGTCTACTCGTCCACCATCAGTGACTTCACAAATGCACTTGGAAGGGAAAGCCTACCCAGAAGAGTTGAGGGTTTTATAGCTGCGAAGGGTGAGCCAACGTCAAATTAAGCCCATATTAAAAATGGGATCTCAATCAATTTCGTATGCTTGTGAAGGCAGCATTTGTAACTTTGTCACAGTTTGTAGGCGCTCCTTCTAGTTGCTAAGTTTTTGAAACTGCAGCATCTGAAAAAAACACAAGAATCATATTGTTTGTTTAGAGCAATTTTAAGTATTAAGATGTGCAATGGTTTGTTATTAAAGCTACAGCAGTGCAGCACTAACATCTGGTTCTGATTTGGAGAAGGTGTGAGAAGGAAACCCTGGACTCCCACCCGTTTCCCGCCCTTTCTGACTCTCTGTATGTGTTTCACTTTCAGATGATCACTATGACATTTCGCTAAGCGGACGCACCGCCCGCACGTCTCAGACTCATCATCATTGCCGCGACAGATATTCCTCACTGCTTGTCCGTCTGTGTCTCTGTCCATCCTTCTGCTTCCAGTCTGCTCGTGTAGATCTTTGTTTCTGTTCAGCCAGAAACTGCTTAGTTCACACAATAACTTTCCTGTTCTCTGTATGAATAAAGTCTCAGGCAGTCAGTGCCTCATGATCATAGCACTGCTTTCTTTTTGAAATGGAGTTAAATACAAATATACAGCCTGAACTTTGTATGTTTATATGTGACACTGACGAACACAACACTTTGTCCCTTTTGTCAATGTATCGTCTCTGATGGGTAAATGATGTGCTGATGGGAAAAAGAAAGTGGAACGTGTCATTATTTATTATTATTGTGTGTGTGTGTGTGTGTGTGTGTGTGTGTGTGTGTGTGTGTGTGTGTGTGTGTGTGTTTCCAATACATCTACATACTTCTCTGTGCTTGCCCCACTTGGCCCCCAACCAATAGCGAGTGACCTTCCCCGTTGATTTTGTTCAATAGGAAATTGGCTCAGAGTTCGACAAGAAGAAGGAGGAGCTTAAGGAGGTGCAGGGCTTAGCCAATCAGCTTTCAGAGGCTGGAGCCACCAATCTAGTGGAGCCCCGCCAACTCCAGCTCAACACACGCTGGGTTGAGGTGGAGGGCAAGTTCATACCCTTCAAAAGACAATGTGTGAGTTTCAGTAGGCACAACTTGTGTATCTACAGTACTAACAGGAAATACTTTAATTATTATATTTCAATACTAACTCTTTAATCTCTCAAAGGTAGCAGTAAACGTTGTAACAATTCATTTTTATCTAACAGCATGAAAGCTTCGATCCAAACGAAGGTTAGGAGCAGTGAACTTACAGTCATGTTTACAGTTAATCATCTTAAATCAGCCAACGAACAGAGTTCTGATTGAGTAAAACTAATATTGGTACCACAAACTCATTAGCTCTAACAACTATCCTATGCTAGTAGTGCTATCTTAATCATTTACTACTAGATTCAGCATTCATGTAGGCTGTTTTTTAATAGTGCTGCCGAGGTGGTTAGCATAGAGTGGTTACATTTTGTGTGTTTCCCTGTGAGACTTATGGACGATAAGAAACATTTAAAATGTTACCAACGTTATCTTTTAGTAAAATATTAGTCCCTACCTAAATACCCCAAATTTGAGACCTTCTCTGTCTCTTTATCTATCACAAAACTGATAGTACAATATATTTTTATGTTTTGAAAATCTGGATTTGATTGTCTCCACTCAAGGAAACAAGTTGCTTTTTGTGTCTTTCTATGCTGCATTCTCATCCACACATTATACCTGTACACAAGTTTAAATCTCCTTGGTTGCTTTGTCTTACTCTGTGTCCCTGCATGCTCCACAAACCAATCACATTACTGGCAGTTCCCTGATCTGCAAATCACAGAAGATGTATGTATCTTGTAAGCCACTAACAGGACATACATGTACATACACTTAAATGATATCATCTTAGACAGATGCACATGTGAACTGTCAGATCTGATCTCAGACCAGTCTTAAGCACAGTAGTATCAGTTCGTCATTTTCTGCCTTGCTCTCTTACAGCATTGGACAGTGAACATAAGCTGCTAATGTCACTCATCTGGTCAAATATGTTCCTTAAATATTCCTGATCACAGCGATCTTATGAAGCTGACGTCTTCTGGACACTGTCTTCATAATACTAAAGTGCTCTCAAAATAAAGTCTCATTTTGAGTTCAGAGTTACAGGTCAGGGGGTAAGAAATAAGGCCGCACATCTGGCCACCCCTGTTGGTAGTGTCATGCCCAAGGAGACTGGAAGCACCCAGGGATCAAACCATGAACCTTTTAGCTGGCAGATGAAACCAATTCTGCTGTTGTTTAATATGAGGTGAAACCTGAGTGGCTTTAAGTCAACTACAGGTGCTCCGTGCTCACACACGAGAGTCAAATACAAAATGTTGGAAATGTGAAAATGTGTGGGCAGTGTTTGGTCCGTTGCTACTAATGTGAGGCAGTAAATTAGAGTCTAATCACTAGGCAACCGTTGCTCTTAAAATAATGTCCAGTGTTGACATAATTCATAAATATGACCACAAGCTTTTCCCACTTTAATCAGTCTGTTTTTAAGCAGGAAGTTGTTTAAAAATAAATAAATAAATAAATGTAAAATTAGTCTTAAGAATTATGAAAAAATAACAACAGTCAGTCTTTAGCATCCAGGACAAACTGTTGCCTAACGACGGTTTAGGAGCACAGCTGAGTGATATTATGACGTCTAGTTTTTGATGGTTACAATGTTGTGGAACACATAGTTATAAAAAGCCATACGCACAGAACAAACCAACAATAGAAAGAAAAAGCATGTAACATGAAATGTAGTATTGTGAGACTTTATGGGCTTGTTGTTGGCTTAAAATATGAGACGTCAAAAAAAGTGAGCGGCAACTTTACAGGATGGAAGGTGACAGCAGAGACGTGCTCCTGGTGTAGGAAACCATGATGACTGTAAGCAGAGAAGCAAAGGCTTTCAGAACTGCCCCTCTCAATTTCACCTCATAACACACACACATACATACACCTGATATCAGAGAAAGGTTTTTCTTTTGCAAAGGCTTGAAGGATCAGCCCACCAGGTCTTCACATCAAAATCATTTTGACCTTCGTGATAAACACAAGTGGTTCTATGGCAACAGCTGCACTTTAGCAGATGTTTGGGCATCAGTGGTAAAAACTGAGATCCTTAAAATAAAAAAAATAAAACAAGATTAACATATTAGTTTTGCTTTGGACAGTTCAAAGTAGGACAACCCAGGAGACCTCAGCTCTCACAAAGATCCTCAGATCTCAATTAGCCTGTTAGTGTTACACTTGTTCACAGTCGTCATTAACCTCCTAAGACCCGAACTCTTCCACGGCAGCATTTTTGATTTCTCTTTGATATTTGGCTGATTTGGACCTGATGAATGTAAAAACAAAGAATGACCAGATTTTTTTTTTACCTGATTTTTGTTTCTAAGAAAAATGAGAGCCACATATGAGGATATTTGTTTAAAATTTCAATAGAAAAGTAGCAGTATAATGTCCTCGTAAGTGCATATCAGGCCCTTGTAGAGCAAAATTGAGTATTTTGGTCTAAATAACCCAAAATGTGACGTCCACATATGTGGACGCAGGTCCTAGGAGGTTAAAGATGCACATTTTAAGGCTTTCTCAAGACTCAGACTCCTCCAGCCGTCCCCTAACAATTAACAGGCTTGGGTTACTCTATGCACCAGATTGGGACTAAAAATGAAAACAAGTGTTTTTAGGTAGTCGTTTGTGCAGCTTCAAAAAACTGCAGTTTAACAAACGTTTCCAAATTCTTGAAGCAAATGTCAGTAACTTGACTTCTATGACAGAAAGAAGAAACATAAATACAACTCAGTATCTCAATAAACTGCATCAGGCACAAGCTGAAGATTTCGCCTCACCCTTTAACCTAAACTAGGCTACAGCTGGGCCTCCAAAGCAGGGACACCATCGCTTCATAGTGCTAAAGGTTTACAGAACGAATGAAACCCATTCAATCAGACAAGGAGTCACAGACTCTGAGCTCAACAGGCTTTAATGGTTATTGTATTTGCAAAGAGACATTTACTCAGCACTGGCCATGCAGAGTTCCCCAACCTTTGTTTGGTCACATTTTTCTGTTTGGATCATATGTGTTACACTTACATGACTTATGCACAACAAAAGTTTATTATTAGACAAAAATAAATATGCAGACACAAAATGTAGTTTGAAAATTTGGGGGTTCAGGAAAACGAGTCATTTATTTAGATTATTTTCTGATGACGAGAAAACAAAATTAAGATGCAGATGTTGTTTTCTTCGATATGTTCTCTTTTTCTGATTTGGCTCTGCTTTGTATGTTTGTGTTGCCTTGTTATGTGTCTGTGTGTGCATGTGTGTGCACTTGTGTAATCAGGAGTATATCACAGAGCTCCAGGCGCTGCTGTGCTCGGTGTCAGAGACGGACTTCAAGCTGAACTCTCCTGAATACTGGCCTGCAGCGTATTATAACATGTCTCAGCAGGAGCACTGCCTGAAGGTCAGCGTTGCTTTTGAACTTGTGTCTAAAGCCCAGTGAGATCAAATATACTAAAACTTATAAGTATTATACTGTTGTTTATACCGTTATACTGAGTTTCCTATTGCAGTCAATGTTGTTTTATATTTTAATGTATTTTCTCTCGTGCTGTGTACCATAGTTTCCATGACTACGTACCAAACAGGAAAATGTGCCTCTTGTAACATAAGAAGCTGTTGTAATAATGAATATAAATGCAGTCTTTGAACAAGTATCCATAACCTTTGAACTGGTTTCACATTACAACCTATTAAATCCACTTCTTTGTATTCTTTAACGGCTCAGAGTGGTCTAACTCAAAAAATGATCTTTAATTTTACATATTGGAGACTGAGCAGACACACAAACACGCCAGCCCGGGCATCAGCAGCCCGTCTCGCTATATATTTTGCAGCACGTCACACACAGTTTCGATACAAACAACTCCTTATATGGTACAAGTTCCTCTTTTCTTAAGCTGCGTCCCAAAACGT